CTCTCTCTCTCTCTCTCTCTTTTTTTGAAGAGCAGTTTGTGAATAAAATATTGCTGGGTGCTTAAGATCCTCAGCAGAGTTCCCTCCACAGGTTAATGGTCCCTCTTGGCGATGTCTTATGTAACTCCTAATGACATCGGAAATTGAAAAGAGGCATTTAAGATGAATGCTGTTAACCCGGAGCTCCTGCTAGGTAGAAAAAAAAGATTGAATGCTGCAGTTGGAGGAAATTGAAAGCCTGCAACTCAACTCAGAGAGAGAGAGGAAGAGAGAGAGAGAGAGAGAGAGGGAGAGAAAGAAAGGAAGGAAGGGAAGGAAGGAAGGAAGGAAGGAAGGAAGGAAGGAAGGAAGGAAGGAAAAGAAAGAAGGAAGGAAGGAAGGAAGGAAGGAAGGAAGGAAGGAAGGAAGGAAGGAAAGAAAGAAAGAAAGAAAGAGAGAGAGAGAGAGAGAGAGAGAAAGAGAGAGAGAGAGAGAAAGAAAGAAAGAAAGAAAGAAAGAGAGAGAGAGAGAGAGAAAGAAAGAAAGAAAGAAAGAAAGAAAGAAAGAAAGAAAGAAAGAAAGAAAGAAAGAAAGAAAGAAAGAAAGAAAGAGAAATGGTATTGCTTCAACATGTGATACAAAGTGGCCTCTTAGGACTTTTACAGCCACTTGTGTGCTGTGCTGGGTGAATTCACTTCTGATGAGCTCTTTCGAAATACCGTTTCAGCTGAGAACATGTAGGCATCTTCCACAACAAATAATGATGATGATGATGATGATGATGATGATGATGAGAGGGACCTTGGAGATCATCTAGTCCAACCCCCTGCTCAGGCAGGAAACCTTACACCGTTTCAGACAAATGGCTGTCCAGTCTCTTCTTAAAAACCTCCAGTGTTGGAGCATTCACCGCTTCTGGAGGCAGGTTGCTCCACTGGTTAATTGTTCTCACTGTCAGGAAATTCCTCCTTAGTTCCAGATTGCTTCTCTCCTTGATTAGTTTCCACCAGTTGCTTCTTGTCCTGCCTTCAGGTGCTTTGGAGAATAGCTTGACTCCCTCTTCTTTGGGGCAGCCCCTGAGGTACTGGAAGGCTGCTATCATGTCCCCCCTTGTAGAGGTGGCCATCAGACAGAACCCTTGAGGCCACTTGAAGGTTTATCTGTATCCTCAGGGTCACCTGACTGGTGCAAATGGGCGTGGAGCCTTCTTTCAACTGTTATCTGTCGACACAGATGAGCCTCCAGGTGGCCTCAATGACTCTCTAAAAGAAGGCAAATGACCAGCTGTCTAGGTCAAAATTGAACAGCCCTCTCTCAACAGAGGGGGAAGGATACAACGTCATCTATCTCCAGTCTGCAACACCGTCCTTTCAGCAGTTCCAAGAAGGCTCCACGCCCATTTGCACCACTCAGGTGACCTTCAGGACACAGGAAAACCTCCAAGTGGCCTCAACGACTCTCTAAAAGGAGGCAACTGACCAGTTTTTCTGCAAGGAGTATAAATCCTTCCATTCCCCACCATCCAGTCAGAGCTGAAGAAGCTTCTTGGATGAGAAGGGAAATGTCTTCAAAGCAAAACAAGACAGTCCAGTTGCCTCTTGGAAAAGGCACCTTTGGGATGACACCTCTTGGAGTTCTTGAAAGTTCTCCCTGAGTTCTTGAGCTCTGTAGCTGGAGTGCTGGTACTAACCCAGGCTATGATCTGCTTTCTTTTTTTGTTTCCTTTTTTTTTTTTTTTTGCATTCCTCTAGTAACATCTCATTAGCAAAAACAAAAAACAAAAAACCAAACACCTGGAAGGAGATGAGGTCCCTGGTATAGCAGGAGAGCAAGTCCTTTCCCAGGCCGGGGGCTACACATCAACTCTGATGGGAATTCCTGCTGGCAGAAAGAAGTCAAAAACAGAATGTGCCAGCTCCAAGAAACTGTTAGTTTCCCAGAATGAAACGGCAGAGGCCAATTCCCACGAAACAGTAACTTTTCACCTTTTTCCTGGGAATTGCTGTGATGGTCCATGAAACCCTCTGCCAATCAAACGGTATTCATATCGTAGGACAGGAATCCACAGCAAATCTCTGCTCAAAATTAGCAGGGGCTGCAAATGAGCAGATGCCACCGTCCCAATCCTGCAAAAACGTGCAACCGATCCTCTACTGGTAGTTCTCGACTTACGACGGCAATTGAGCCCAACATTTATCTTGTTAAGTGAGCTTTGGCCCATTTTACGGCCTTGTTAGCCGCAGGCATCGTTGTAGCTTGTTAAGTTAGTAACCTGGTTGCTAAGCCGTTGACTTGGCTTGTCCAAAAGTCACAAATGGTGATCACAGGTCCGCAGGTCCCCATAACCGTCACATGTGTGAATCAGTTGCCAAGCATCCGAATTCTGATCACATGACCGCAGGGTCAGGTGCAAAGGTCGTAAGTGTGGAAAATGGACGTAGGTCGCTTTTTTTCAGGGCTGTTGTAAGTTTGAATGGTCACGAAAGAAAATGTTGTAAGGCAAGGGCTGCCTGTATCAGCGCGGTGTGTGGAAGTATGCAGTTTCAGCCATGCTGTCTTGTTGTGGGATGAGGCTGAGCATGTCTGGACTGGTTGCCTCTTGCCACCTCTGTCAGCAAAGAGGAAAGACAACGTGCCTGTCCCACCACCAGGGCTTTCCTGTTTCCGTAAACCGGTCCTGGAATCCAAAGAAGGAATGCAGCACGAGTGTCCAAACAATTATTATTTACAAAACTTGTGGGTTTGAGCATGTCAACGGCAAAGGAGCAGAGCCATATGTTAAGTCCCAGCACAGGAAATTTATCACTCAAGCCCATACTAGGGGGTGACATGACAGCAGCCTTCCAGTATCTCAGGGGCTGCCTCAAAGAAGAGGGAGTCAAGCTATTCTCCAAAGTGCCTGAAGGCAGGACAAGAAGCAACGGATGGAAACTGAACAAGGAGAGAAGCAACCTAGAACTAAGGAGGAATGAAATGAAATGAAATTATATTTTCAAACGGGGGATAATTTTTATAAATGGCTAGAAAAGCGGAATAGAGTAGAAATGAAAGTTGTGTTACTATTAAGGCTAAATAGGTGAACCCAGACAGCACGTTGTTTATTAAGCAGTAAAGATTTGTAACTATAAAAACTTAATAATGTATTATTTAAAAAAAAATTGGGGCCCCGCACTGCTTTGTAGTTGCCTGGATTAATAATTAAAGAATCCAAATCCAGGGAAATTTGTATGAGGGCAAGGCAGCGTAATTTGAACTGCCTCCTCCCCGTGTCTCCGTGGGGAATAGAACATTCTCAGACTGAGTGGAATCCCGAATCCAATTCCGGCCTTCCACCCTCAGTGCCATGCTGAATCTCCCTGTTTCCAAAATTTGGAACAAATAGTTCGTTTTTCTTTACACAAACAAACAACGTGCTGTTTCTCGGGTCTTCCAGAATTTGATCCAGTTCATCTGCGGCGAGCAAAATATTATGAAATAATAAGCGTTCAAGAACAACACATATTTTCCTCATAACCGTAATGAGGAGGATGCGCATTTCAGGAAAATCAATTTAAAAGTTTCCAGATGCCCTATTTGTACAGTTAATTAGACACCGATCAAATTAGATTAGCGCGGAGGTCCCTTCGGCGGGGAGAGACCTCTGGTACTCTTCAAGCAAGCTTTGGGAGGAACATGACTTTGACCTAATGTACATGTCTTGTTCTTGATGCTCAGGAGGGCGACTGTAAAAATGGGGTGTCCTCAACGTCACCTGAGTGGTGCAAATGGGTGTGGAGCCTTCTGGAACTGTGGAAAGGATGTGTTGTATACTGTAGATAGAGGATGTCGTATCCTTCCCCCTCTGTTGAGAGAGGACTGTTTAATTACGACATCCTCTACCTCCAGTGCACAACACAGTCCTTTCCACAGTTCCAAGAGGGCTCCACACCCATTTGCACACCTACTCAGAAGACCCTGAGGACACAGACAAACCTCCAAGAACTCTCTAAATTAAGAACGCAAATGACCAGCTGTCTGCAAGGAGTATAAGTCCTTCCTTTCCCCACCATCCAGTCAGACCTGAAGAAGCTTCTCGCATGAGAAGCGAAACATCTTCAAAGAAAAACAAGAAAGTCCAGTTGCCTCTTGAAAAAAGCACCTTTGGGACACAAATGTCGCAAAATACCTTTTTGCAGGTGCTGCTTTGGGCTGAATTACTGCTATCTTGTTTAAAAATGCTGAATTATTACCGACAGAAGAAAATATTTAGAACTGTGGGGTCTTTGGTGCTTCTGAACTTGGTGGCTTTCTTGCAGACGTTTCATTACCAAACGAGGTAACAACATCAGTGCTAGAAAGAAGTGGGGTTTGCTCTTCATTTTATATACTAGTGCAGTGGTTCTCAACCTGTGGGTCGGGACCCCATTTGGGGTCGAACGACCATTTCACGGGGGTCGCCAAACAAGGCTGTCCGCCATTTTTTCCCCTTTTCTTTGGCCACGCCCCTGGCACCCGGTGATGTATAAGTGGTTGGGGGTCACCACAATATGGGGAACTGTATTATGGGGTCGCGGCATTAGAAAGGTTGAGAACCACTGTACTAGTGGCTTGCCTTGTCAGTTTTGCTGGGAGTGTTGTTGGCGGTTCCTTGATTAATTATTACCCACGTATTATGATTCGTCGCACAGTTAACCAGATGTTCAGACTGGACTGGATTTGGCATTTTTGTCCACCTACTGAGTCTTTCCCAAGGACCTGGGATAGGCAGAGGTGGCTGTTTGATGGTGTCGCAGATATAGCCGCAGGATTTAAGCTGTTCCAAGCAAAGCTGCCTTTTGAAATTGACGGATGGTGAATGTGTCAATGCCAATGGGGTTCAAGTGGTCTCCAGTTTGCGATTGTCTCCAAGGTGCCTATTACTATTGGTCCTTCCTTTGCTTTCTTATCCTTGTATTACTGATGATTACCTAAGTATCTTTTTCGCTTATTTAGCAGAGTATAGTTTTGCAACTTCCATTTTTCAACCTTCTGTCTTGTTCCAGGAGGAAGAGGAAAAACTCACCTGGAGAGACCGCACCCCTGGCTATCTAGTGAACTGTGCTTCCATCTTGTTCATGGTAACTCTCCTTGTCTTGTTTTCCTTGAGGTCTACAGAAAACTTACACTGACATCTTCAAGTTCCCCCTTCAACTGTTCTTTCCCGCATAAATCTTCCACCCGAAGCACCCCGTGTCAGAGTGATAGACTACTTTGGCGTTACTTCCAGGCCCTGTCAGCCAAATCCCAAGTATGACACAATGTTTGGTGCAGAGTTTGACATCTGATCAATAAACTTGCTTGATAGATTGAAGTATTTGGAATGGGCCAGCGATGCCCATATTAAGTTCTTTGTGTCAACTGGTGATAATGGGTGCCTTAGATGAGATGGTTCCTGGCAGCCAATCCTATGGATGTCAGAGGAGGTGGGGGAGGGCAAAAAAAAGAAGGGAGGAGGCATGTCATGCCAACTGTGAGATCATCACACAATGGACATGAATTTTGGCAATGACTTCCCGGTATATAGTGGGCCATTGGGACTTCTACCATATGTTACGTCCTTGAAGATTGCTTGTTTGCATCCTTTTCTGCAAAGTGGACAGCGGTGAAGGATGGCAAACTGGTCCAGTAGTGAGGAATGGAGGATCTTCCCCTCAATTGTGCAATATTGACCTTCCCAAAGCCTTCTTCTTGTCTCCTGCCATGTCTAATGTAGATTTTTGATTGAGTGGTTTGACTGATTGATTCAATGACTGAATTTATGTGACCTTCCGTCTCAGATACAGGACGGGACTCTGGGTGGGTAACAATGATTGAAAACAAGATAGAAGCACGATAACAAATAAATAACATGTACAGGACCCAAGATAAAAGACCAGCCAACACAACAGTTAACAGGACCGGATCACACGCTCAACCATTCGCCTGGAGCTTAAGGCTCAGTAACAAAACGAGGTCTTCAAGGCCTTATGAAGGACCAGCTGGGCTGGGACAATTCCAGTCTTTGGAGCAATGATGTTCCACAGGGCAGGCACTTCAACGAGAAGGCCTTTTTCCTGGGTCCACCAGAGGACACTCCCTGATTGATGGGATCCAGAGCACACCTCTCCTATTGGTTCTGACAGGATGGGGAGATTCAACCATTATTGAGAAGCCTACAAATAACTCCGCCCACAACTGAGAATGGGGCGGGGCATTCCACTCTCACGGCCTCGTGCTCTGCACAATATTTCCTACCAGTAGCTGTTTTTCCTCACATCCCGTCTGCAAACATGGAGCCCTTTTTATTTCCTCTATGTCTCCCCCAGGAATGGGGGTCTTTGCTGGGTTCCAAGCAGCCCCAACTATTTCTAGAAGTCCTTATAAAAATTTAATTAATATGATCAAAAGACAATGGAGCAAAGGCTAGCCACACAACAGCTCAGCTTTACTCATGGTCTAACACAGGGGTAGGCAACCTTGGCCCTTTTATGATTCGTGGACTTCAACTCCCAGAATTCCTCAGCCAGCATGGCTCAGCTTGGAAACCTCTCCCTCTCCCCTCAGCGTGGCTGGCTCAGGAATTCTGGGAGTTGAAGTCCACAAGTCACGAGGGGGCCATAGTTCCCCCATGCTGTCTCAGGAATTCTGGGAGTTGAAGTCCACGAGTCATAAAAGAACCAAGGTTCCCCATCCCTGCCCTATATCAGAGGTCCTCAACCTTGGCTCTTTTATGACTGGTGGACTTCAACTCCCAGAATTCCTGAGACAGCATGGCTCAGCTTGGAAACCTCCCTTTCCCCTCAGCATGGCTGGCTCAGGAATTCTGGGAGTTGAAGTCCACCAGTCATAAAAGGTCCTTTTTCCTCTGGCAAGCTTGCATGCACACACACACACACACACCCTCTTTAAAAGTATCTTTTTGTTCCCCTTCACCTTGCAATGACTAAGAAAAGAAATAGTGGACCCTGAAAGTCACATAGGTTATAGTTTTAAGCAGGGCTCCAGATTTATTTATCTTGGGTCACCTCATCAACTGCGCCGTATAAACAGAAGGGGATTTGCTGAAATTATGAGAGCATTTACTTTTTGACCAATAGAGCAGCAAGGTCCATAAATTATATCCTCACACAAAATGTCCTGGGGGTGAACATAAACAGCTCCTTTCTGCTTCGCTCAAATATTATGGCAAGACTAAGAGGATAGGCTTCTGTCTGATTGATTATATTACCGTTAACCCAAAGAAAACAATCTGATCTTTTCACTTTCAGTGTTTGAATAAATACCTTTAAATCACCTGGACAGCCACCAGTAGCCTCAAAGATTGTGCACACTAAAACCCACAGCATTTTGAGCAAACAATAACCAGCCAGGAGGATTCTCCCAGGGATGGAAGGCAGCAACAGAAAGCAAGATTATCTAGGCTAGTGGGTAGAATCTGAATTTCTCTTTGGGGGAGGAAAAAAAAATCACAATTTTGTTGTGGTTATTGTTGCTGCTCATTCATGAGATGCTCTGTCCATCTCAAAAAGCTGTGCCAAAGTTAGATTGTGCCGTTGTCTTCTCTACGGAGGCATTGAGCACAGGCCAGTGGTGGCGAACCTATGGCACGGGTGCCAGAGGCGGCACTCAGAGCCCTCTCTGTGGGCACGCGCACCGTTGCCCCAGTCCTAGGCCTTCAGCTGGGTTTTATAAAAAATCTTTTCGCTTTAGGCCGCCGCTGCTGTGTGCAAAAGAAAAAAAAAAGTTCAATCAATCAGTCAATTTCAACTTCTCGCGGGAAAAAAGGGATCTTGCAAAATTGGAATTGATTGATTGAATTGATTGACTGAACTTTTTAGTCCCACCCAGTCTGCCATTACCACTGCGGCCACGCCCACCCAATGGGCCACAGCCAACCAATGGGCCACACCCACCTGGCACCCAACGATGCATTAGTGGGTTTTGGGTTGCAGTTTGGGCACTCGGTCTCTAAAAGGTTCACAATCACTGTCTTAGGTTGCTGGGTCTTCTGCTTTGAACTGCCTCTTCCCTCTGTCTACGCATGGTGTAATCTATTTGCCACTTAGTCACAATGATCAAAAAGAAGACCGATTAGTAATCATACTAAATATGATCTGGTAACCCCTTCGGAGGAATTGCTCAGTTGAATCATTTTTTGCCCTGCTAATGAACTTTTAGGAATCTTTGTTTAATAGCTACCCAACTAGCTGTCATGTTTTAACTTTATCCGATGGGCAGATACTTGTTATATTCATAGCTAGAGGAATAAGCCTATTTGTTAGTTGTGGTGACACAAGAGTTAGAACGTGTTATTTGCAGGCTGACTCTATCCACTCAATCCAGGAGTTTGATCCTGACTGGCTCAAGGTTGACTCAGCCTTCCAACTTTCCAAGATAATCATCATCATCATCATCATCATCATCATCATCATCATGATATCAATAAAATGAGGACCCAGATTGTTGGGGGGCAATAGGCTGACTCTATCAGTGCATGGATGTCACTTCCGGAAGTCTGTTCTAGGCTTCGGAGGCCTGGAGGAAGCCTCCCAGGCCTAGAACAGCCCCCGGAAGTGTGTGGATGCCACTTCCGGAAGTCCATTCTAGACCTCAGAGGCCCAGGTCTGCATCCAATAAGAGAACCGGTTGTTCAGGTATTTGAATCCCACCACTGAGCATCGCTGAAGAATCTAAGGAGCTGCTGAACTGATCACTGAATCTTCCAGGAATGACATTTTCCCTCTTTCTTTAACCCCATCATTATTCAACCACAATCACCAAGTTACCTAAGAATATCTATGCGTATATCATTCTATTAATATCTCCTTTTCTTTCCAGATTTCATTGACTTTTTCCATAGTCTTTGGCGTAATTGCCTACCGGATAACCTTAGCAGCTGCACTCTCCATGAGCACCAACGGGTCATCCAAGTCCAACGTGCGAGTCACAGTGACAGCGACCGCCGTCATCATAAACCTCGTGGTGATTCTAATCCTGGATGAGATTTATGGAGTCGTTGCCAAAAAGTTGACCGAAATGGGTACTTTTGTTTTTTGTTTTCCTGGAGATAAGCAACTTATCCTAAGTAGATGTTTTCCATCCAGGACTTTCTTATTCACCCATGATCTTATTTGTGCAGCCGTTTGCATGTACCAAATTCTTGAGGTTCCTCAGATTTTGTTGACTTAATTGGTGAGCTGCTGCCTGGCCACAAAAGCAACTGAACGCTTTGTGGTTTGAACATCAGTGATGGTGGATTGCCAGCTTCCCCTTTCCACTTGACCACTAGAGATGGTGTTTTTTTGAGAGGGAGGTGTTGATAGCATCTTCTCCATTTCTGCACTTATTCATAGCTGGGGTTTATCTTAGAAACAACCACAGGATTCCCCTTTGGTCTAGCACAGGGGTAGGCAACCTTGGCTCTTGTATGACTCATGGACTTCAAGTCCCAGAATTCCTCAGCCAGTATGGCTCAGCTTGGAAACCTCTCCCTTTTCCCTCAGCGTGGCTGGCTCAGGAATTCTGGGAGTTGAAGTCCACAAGTCATAAAAGAACCAAGGTTCCCCACCCCTGTCCTATATCAGGGGTCCTCAACCTTGGCAACTTTAAGACTCGTGGACTTCAACTCCCAGAATTCCTCAGCCAGCATGGCTCAGCTTGGAAACCTCTCCCTTTTCCCTCAGCGTGGCTGGCTCAGGAATTCTGGGAGTTGAAGTCCACAAGTCATACAAGAGCCAAGGTTGCCTACCCCTGGTCTAGCGGGTTCTCTTTGGTGTACAGAAAAGGCATTGTGGAGGCAGAAAGTGTGCCAGGCCTTCACTATGCAATAGACACAGGAAGAGTGATGGTGCTCCTTTTCATGGAAACAGAGATAATCAAAAGTATTCAGGATGGCCTCCATTGAACTCTTCTTCCCCAATTGTGGTGCTAACGTTGAGTGGTCCTCAATCCTGACACATACCAGTTGTTATCAGGGGGAAAGATCAGGTCCACATGTGAAGGTCCAGTTAAATTGATTTATTCCTACTCGTGCAACTAACGTTAGCACCTGCTTAGAGTTTGATAAAGGTCCCTGGAATTCAAGGGAAGTTGGACACGGTCCAGTTGCCGCTACGTAGGGATTCTAGGCCGATTCCTCTTTTCACTCCGCCCCCAGGTCCTGCCACACTTTCTCCTACAGTGGCAAAAGCAGAATAGCCCTCTTTTGTCCCTTCACATCCCAGCCTTTGCTTCTGCCTTTCTACCTTCCATTTTTGCCAGTTAACTATCTCTCTCTCTTGTGCCTCCTTCTACTTCTCTTTGTTTTGTTCCTTCCTGACTTCATCCCCTTCTCCTTGCTCGCTTGAGATCTATTTTGAGTTTGTTCAGGTGCTTTTTTTCTGAGGTGTGGGAAAAGTTGCTGCCTGGTGACTTTAGGTGCATCATGGTCGTGTGGGATATCCCTTGTTCAGCAGGTGGACACAAAAGCTTCTCATCAGCCAGGATCCTACGAGCAAGCTTTGAGGAACAGCGCCTTTAGTGAAGCTATTTGTGACTGTGAGAGAGAGAACAGCAAAATCAGCAAATACAATTCAGCAAATTAACTGAGGACCTTCGTCTGACACCAAAGATGAATTAGTTATACCTAACTAGAGAGAAAAAAAATTAATTCTTTTTGATTAAGATACTTATACAATTTTGTAAATTTTACTCCATGGGGTCCGTAAAGGGGAAGTTTTAAACAGAGTAATTTATACTCCGTAGTTTAATTTTTTTTTTTTTAAGAAATCAGTCTTTTTAAAAAATATATATTACTTCGACTGAAGGGGTGGTGCAGTTCTTGCCTACCCTGTTTTAGACACCCACGGCATGAAAATTCTTAGAAAAGTAACATTGAGAGTGGGGTTTAACGTTATTATTAAATAATTGTGGCTAGCGCTTAAATGAAAGGCTGTTGCAGCGCTCTGTTAAATTGTTTCTTTAAAAACCTATCATCTGTGTATATATTTGGAACGCTTTTGGGAGAAAATTATGAAAACAATTCCCAATCACGCTTTAATAAGCATGAAAATACAATTGTTGGTGTCTTCTTTTCTTTTAAAAAGAAGTAGATTGCAACAGTGTGCTTCGGCTGATGTAGATCACCATATAGGACTAGGTCCTGGTAATTAGTTTAGACAGAACAGGAGAGAAGGAATCGCTTCATCTTCTCCCAATCTTCTCTGGTCCAACCCATAAAAAAGAGGAGGAAGACTGCTCTAAGCTGCTTCACCCCAAGAGGTCCTTATAAGTCTTCTCCAATGCGCCAGGCAGTCCTCCTGCCATATAGTCTCATTATTTTCTTCTCATTCTTCCATTAATAGATAAAAGGAATTCTCATTCTGGAAACCTGGGTCATAGCAATGTAGAATCATGAAATCATAAAAACATAGAATCATAGATTTACAGGATCATAGGATCATGGAATCATAGAAACATAGAATCATCATAGAATCATCATAGAATCATCATAGAATCATGGAGTCATAGAAATATAGAATCATAGAATCATAAAATCATAGAATCTTAGAATCATAGAATGATAGAAACACAGGATCTCAGAATTATAGAATCATCATAGAATCATGGAATCATAGAAATAGAATCATAGAATTATAGAATCATCATAGAATCATCATAGAACCATCATAGAATCATCATAGAATCATGGAATCATAGAAATATAGAATCATAGAATCATCATAGAATCTTAGAATCATAGAATCATTATAGAATCTTAGAATCATAGAAACATAGAAACATAGGATCTCAGAATTATAGAATCATCATAGAATCATAGAAACAGAATCATAGAATCATCATAGAATCATGGAATCATAGAAATATAGAATCATAGAAACTTAGAATCATAGAATCATTATAGAATCATAGAATCATAGAAACATAGGATCTCAGAATTATAGAATCATCATAGAATCATAAAAACACAGAATCATAGAACCATCATAGAATCATCATAGAATCATCATGGAATCATAGAAATATAGAATCATAGAATCTTAGAATCATAGAAACATAGGATCTCAGAATTATAGAATCATCATAGAATCATAAAAACACAGAATCATAGAACCATCATAGAATCATCATGGAATCATCATGGAATCGTAGAAATATAGAATCATAGAATCTTAGAATCATAGAAACATAGGATCTCAGAATTATAGAATCATCATAGAACCATAAAAACACAGAATCATAGAACCATCATGGAATCATCATAGAATCATGGAATCGTAGAAATATAGAATCATGGAATTATGGAATCATAGAAACATAGGATCTCAGAATCATAGAATCATCATAGAATCATAGAATCATAGAAAACAGACTATATATTTTCCCAGAAACCGCACAACTACAATTGCTTTTGTTTGTATCACTTACCTGAGTCGTACTTAACAAGTTTTCTTTCCTTCATGTTTTCTTCACGGCAGAGGTACCCAAAACAGAAAAAACGTTTGAGGAGAGGTTGATTCTGAAAGCTTTCCTGCTGAAATTTGTAAATTCTTACGCACCCATTTTTTACGTGGCTTTTTTTAAGGGAAGGTAAGTTGGATCAGATTTCTTAGCGTTGAGTTTTAATACACGGCCCCAGTTTGGCTTGTTATTGTTGTGATAGCTTTACTCTGCGGTGCCCATGGGGTTTTACCTTTTTAAACTCCTTTTGTAATACATGTAATCCTCAACTCACGATCACAAATGGGCCCAAAATGCTAAGCAAGAGAATTGTTAAGTGAGTTTTGCCCGGGTTTAAGGCCTTTTTTTTCCTCCAGTTGTTAAACAAATCAGTGCACTTGTTAACTGATTCATTTGGTCGTTAAGCAAATCTGGCTTCCCCTATTGACGTTGCTTGTCAGAAGCTGGCTGGGAAAATTACAAATGAGTATCACCTGACAGGCAACTGTCATATACAGTCCATGTGTTGAAGGAAAAATCTTCATCAGGGTCCAGTCCAAGCCGGGAATAAAAAACATGGAGACTGCTTTAAAAAGAAGGTTGTAGTTTATTGAAGAGGTGAGCCAGACAGAAAGATGGCTTTGGGGAAAAAAAACTGTAGTAGGGAGTGGTGGGTTTTTATACCTTCTTGGGCTTTTGTTTGGAGTTGTTCCTGTGGCGTGAACTTTGACCTGAGTCTGAAATTTAGTTCGCCCCATCCTGATCTTTCTTTCCCAAAGTGTCCGGGGGTGAGAGAGAAGGGAGAAATCACATGCTTGGAGGAACTGGTGCTCAGCCCCAGGAATGTGCTCTTTACTTGGGGGGGGGGTTGGATCCACCCCCCCCCCAGCCCGCCGGGATCAGAGAAATCTTTCTCTTTCCATTTCACCGAATTCTTGGTCTTCCTAAGGACACAAAATGTGGAGCAGAAGCAGGCTGCTTTTGTTTTCCATGCCAGAGGTCTTGGGAGGTCTGGAAATGTCACAAAATGGGCATGTGGCCATCCAGAAACTCTCCTTTTTATTTTTTTATTTTTTGATGGGCAGCACCCGGGAAGGGCTGGCTGGGAAGCGACACCTGGCCCTAAGACCTCCACGGTTTGAGGATGAGGCTTTTTCCTCCCTTGCTGGAGGCGTCATGCCTAAAATCAGGTTTTCCAACCGTTCAACCTTTTCCTTCCTTGGAAAAAACAGGCGAAGCCCTGTCCCTCGTTCTCCTCAAATCACCCAGTAAAGGAGCAACAGGATTTCTGCAGAATCACAGCCAGGAAAAACAGGACTGGGAACTGCAGGTGGCCCTGGGAAGGGATGGACGTACCTGTAAAAAGTATAAAATCTTCCGTCATCATTACAAAACTTTTCCCCAGGGGGTTTCCACCTGCAGATGGCCCTCTTTCCACACGATTTTTTCTTGCTTGCAAAAATGGAGGTTTTGCAGACTGCCTTCCCCAATTGAAATGGCTGCTAGGATGACTAGTCTAGACTAGACTAGACTAGACTAGAATAGACTAGAATAGAATAGAATAGAATAGAATAGAATAGACTAGACTAGACTAGACTAGACTAGACTAGACTAGACTAGAATAGAATAGAATAGAATAGAATAGAATAGAATAGAATAGAATAGAATAGAATGAATGGACTAGACTAGACTAGACTAGACTAGACTAGAATAGAATAGAATAGAATAGAATAGATATAGAATGGAAAGAATGGAATAGACTAGAATAGACTAGAATAGACTAGAATAGAATAGAATAGAATAGAATAAGAACAGAATAGAATAGAATAGAACAAGAACAGAATAGAATAAAATAGAAAAATAGAATAGAATAGAATAGAATTAGAAATAAGGAATAGAATAGAATAGAATAGAATAGAATAGAATAGAATAACAGAGTTGGAAGGGACCTTGGAGGTCATCTAGTCCAACCCCCTGCTCAGGCAGGAAACCCTCTACCATTTCAGACAAATGGCTGTCCAGTCTCTTCTTAAAAACTTCCAGTGTTGGAGCATTCACTGCTTCTGGAGGCAGGTTGTTCCACTGGTTAATTGTCCTCACTGTCAGGAAGTTTCTCCTTAGTTCCAGGTTGCTTCTCTCCTTGATTAGTTTCCACCCGTTGCTTCTTGTCCTGCCTTCAGGCGCTTTGGAGAATAGCTTGACTCCCTTTTCTTTGGGGCAACCCCTGAGATACTGGAACTCTGCTCTCATGTCCCCTCTCGTTCTCCTCTTCCTTAAAACTTGGCCAACTGTTTTTAAAAAGCGTTTTTCTTTTATACACTTATAACTCTATGTTGTGTTTTTCTGTTTTCCCTCGTATATCTGTCTCTCCTCAGGTTCGTGGGCCGCCCTGGCCAGTACGTCTACATGTTTGCCGGTTACCGAATGGAAGAGGTAATTGTCCACACTCACAACCTATTCATTAAGTGGCCGTTGGAAGTTACAACAGGAC